TTATAGCATTTTTTGAACTTCTCGAATGATCTTCTAACCATTTTAATATACGAGTTGGTTCCAGATATCGAGAAGTCTTTTTAGAATTTTTTACTTTTCTTAATTTCTTATTTGTATTTAACGGCTTTGAGTCATCTTTAACTTCGGCTTCCACGTCAGATAAATTATCATTTTCATCAGCTAACATAGCAAATCGATTATTACGACGTTGTCGACGTCTAAATGAAGACGTTGTTTTACGTTGACGTTGCTGTTGTTGCTGCTGATTTTGATTACTTCCACTCACTATGAAAGGTTGAGTAGTATTATTTCGAACAAATCTTTCACGCTGTGGTAATGCATCTGGTGGAGCATTTGTATTTGTTATTGCCAGTGCCGTAGTTGTAGCTATATTAAAATCAGGTGGTAGTTGTGGTGAAGGTTCACGTAATTCAGTTGGCATAAAATCATTTAAACGTATTTGTCGTGGACCTTGTCTTCTTGGACGATTACTAAGTCGACGTCGACTAGGAGATCTAACAGGTTGAACTAGTCTTTCTTGTCGTTCTTGTCCTGGATTTACGAAACCATATCTACCTCTATAATATGGATTAAAATTTTGTCGTGGTATCCGATTATTTCGATCATAAAAGTTATTTCGAGGATAACGTCGATAATTTTGATTATAAAATTGGTTGCCTCTATTTCGATAATTTCGATTATAAAAATTGTGATTATAAAAATTGCGAGGATAACGTAGATAATTTTGATTATAAAATTGATTGCCTCTATTCCGATAATAAAATGGATTGCCTTCTCTATAATAATTATTATTATTGCGCTCTACATAATTATTGCGCCTTGTATAATTGTTGCGCCCTACATAATCATCATTATTATTGCGCCCTAAAACACCACCACGACGACGTATATATCTTGGTAAACGTGGTGGTGCATTGGGATCTTGTAATGGTATTTCATTATTATTATTATTATTATCGTAATTGATGGACGACATGTATCGTGTAATAAGTTGAGAGATAAGTGGACCAAATTAGAATAATATAATTCAAATCACTTGATGCCTGATATAATTTAATGTACGTAAATCAAATAGAAACAGATCAATCTATATCCCTCCGATACAAATCAATCTGCTGATCTCAACTCTCGCTTTTCAGCAATCGACTATTATGTCGAATATAAAATATTTAATCGATGTGCTTGAATTCGAATTAATTAAATAGAAATGCAGAGTTTAATTTCGCCGACGCGTTTCGTGTTATTTATTTAAATATTGAAACACTCATCAGGGCTCTGCATTTTGAAAAAAACAACGATAAAATAATTTGAAAAAACAACAGTATAATAAATTCAAAAACCAACAATATAATAATTTCAAAAGGGGCTATGTAATGAAATAATACAAAAAATTCAAAAAATTCAAAAACTCTATAATTTTATAAAAGCTTCACACTAACAACATAGAAAAAATCTAACATTAGATAAATAGTACAGTACATAACGTAACAATTGATATATACACTCTGGCACATTATTACATTCAAACATTTTTAAATTAGTACAACTAACATCACAATATAAGTGGCGTTAACAACCTGACAAAATGTCCTTATTATTCATGCAATTTCTTTTGTAACAAACAATGATAATCCGGACGACAGGTTGTATCTGAAATATATTTGTTGTTTGTGCCATATATTTTTATGACAATATTCATAATTCAAACGTGTTTATATAATATTTTCAGCATTATCAACAATGGATAATGTCATATTTTTAAATAATCAATGGACATATTTACGAATTGTAATTTAATAAAAATTTAATAAAAAGGCATTAACCTTTTCAATAAATAATCGTATGCGATAATAATATATAATATAATTTCATTCTGTTAAAATTAATATAAATTTTAAATTATTTAATATAAATTTTAATTGAAATTAAATAATAATGATACAACATTTTTGAACAATAATACAACAATTTCACCAACTATAAGATTATTTATAAATAGTGATACAACATTTTTGAACAATAATACAACAATTTCACCAACTATAAGATTATTTATAAATAGATCTTTAACAAAATTGAAAATCTTTCATTTTAAAAAAATGTTTGAAAATCTTTCATTTTTAAAAAAATGAATATCTTTCAATTGAATATCTTTCATTTTAAAAAAATGAATATCTTTCAGTTGAATATCTTTCATTTTAAAAAATGAATATCTTTCAATATTCAAATAAACATTTTAGAGTAAAATAACCAAAAATTTAATTTTTCAATTGTATATATGGCCATGGTTGATAAATACTTTAAATAAATAAATTTATAATATTTAATAAATTCGTATATATAACGTTGACTACAAGCATTATATATATACGACTTTGATTAGAAGTCATTGGATAACATCCATTTAACCAGATCTAAATACAAAGTTATACTTATTCAACAATTTTCAATTCACTAATTTTGATAAAATGATAATTTAATCCATAATATATTATCATAATTTCATGTTCGTCAGACTATGTATAATTACATAGTCAAAGCTAGGCATCGTTGTAAATTTTTCACATTTCGAGTGCCAAGAACAGGTCTAACTTCATTAATAGGGGATTCCCCAAAATATTTATTCCAAAGTATATGGAACTTAGCAGGAAAAGTTTTCATACTAGAACAGTATGTAAAATGTACAAACATAATTGATTCATAATCAATATCAACTTTTTCTTTCATGGGTGAATCTATTACTTTTTGCCGATATTTATCATAATTCCAAATTGTTAACGGCTGCTCAATATCACATTTCAAAAGAACATTATTAAACTGTTCTTCGATTAACTTATTCGGATATTTATTAAGCAATAAAGCCATACGTAATTTTTCACGTTCATCCAAATATGTTTGAAATGTAGAACAATATCGAATTGCCCGGAGTAACATCGTAAAAGGTATATTCTTTTTCATATGTAATGGATGAATGCTACTAAATGGCAAATAGTAAGGCTCATAAGATGGTTTTTGGTAAACTGTAGTAAATAAAGTCCCATCTTGATTTTCCATATATAAATCAAGAAAACTAATAAAGGAGCCAATGTTTGCTTTTAATTTAATATTTTCATCAAATTGATTCCACTTTTCGATTTGTTTCAATAAATGTCGAGCAGGCCAATTGATTACAATAAATAAATCATCAATATACCGAAAAAAGAGTCCTCCGCTATTTTTAATTTGTTTAGCTATTTGTTGTTCAAAGAAAAACATATAACAATTAGCTATAGTCAGAGTTAACGGAGAACCCATAGCTCCACCTCTAATCTGATGATAAAATTGACCATCATAAGAAAAATAATTATTTTGCATAACAAACCGACTTAATCTAATAATAATTTCAATTTTTAAACCACCAACTCGTTTAAATTTTAAATAATCTAACATTTTCTTAAGAGAAAGTACTCCTTCTACTTGTGGAATCATTGTATATAAATCAAGTACATCAATACTACAAAATATAGTATTTTGATTCATATTCAGTATACACCATTCTTTTAATTTTTTCAATAATTCAAAGCCAGATGTAACTGTTGTATCTTGAGCCATTTTATCAAATAATGGTCTTAATAAATCATCAAGAAATTTTGAAATTTTTATTGTAGGATGTTTGAGACCACTTATAATTGGACGTAGCGGAGTACCAGGTTTATGAGCTTTTGGCAAATAATATAAATGGGCCAACTCAACTTCACATGGATTAATACATAATTTCTCATATTGTTTTTGAGTAATCCATTTAGCTAATCTTAAATCCAATAGATATTTATTTGTTCTTTGAATTAAATCAGGTAATGGATCTTCACTGCCAAGACATTTATATGCTTGAGTTTTTTCCATATATTCTTTGGATTTTTTACGATAATCTTCCAATTTACCTAAATGGAATACTTTTGATTTATCTGATTTCTGTAATATAACATTCGCCAATTTAAATTTATGTTTTAATCTTTTAACTAATCTTCCATAATTTTTCTTTTTCTTCGTTTTAATTGTATTAACAAATTGTGATTGAGACAATTGACTATTTATAACTTCCATAATACTTTTATTTTGATTTATATTATTACCAAATGATGCATTTTTATTTAAATATTTATCTATTATTAGAACATTATGTAAAGTTTGAAGAAGAACATCTAATTCGGCCATAAATTGTTGAAGTGGACGGCCGGGGCTCACTTTCTTTCGAAAGAAACAATTTTCTATTTTTCGTCGAAGAGCAGCCAACTCAGTTATACGCCGTCGAGCAGCTGTTTTTGGGTCATTAAATATAAATTTCGGGCCTAATTTTAATAATTGATGTTCTTCTTCAGTTAATTGAATGTTAGCTTCGTTAATTATTGCTGGAGCAAGAAATCCTCGCCCAGCGAACGTATTACAGTCGGAGCGATTATTTCTTCTTGTATTTGCAGATTGTTGGTATCGCCCTCGACTTGCAGTTCGAATAAAAAATGCATCNCAGACTTTCTGTATCCATTTCCTTATCTTAATCGACTTGTTCTTAGAATCACATGTACGTACTTCTGCATTCAAATTTTTAGCTTCATTCTGATTGCAGAATGTAGAATGAAACGAAAGAATTGCATTTGTTTATCTTTCATAGGTACAAGTGTTTCTGTATAAGTGAAATACTGATTGTGGCGAACGGATGACTTGGACAGTGTCAAATCATTGACAAGATCATAAAAAAGTTTGTCATCAGGTACTGTCGAAAAGACGGGTGCTTGGAAGTCTTGGTTTGCCGTCTTATTAACAAAGTAGGGTACTGAGAGTAGAGAGCTTCCTTCATAAGTCACATACCATCTTTTCTCTTGAAGCCAAAACGGGGTCCGAAATGAGTCGAGATTGAAAAATTGTATTCCAAATAAATGATTTTTGAAAATGAAATTGAATGTGATTAAGTCTTTCGTCAAAATCTGCCATCTCCATCCATCGGAGAGATCAGTTTCGCCAGTAACATTGAGCTCGAGATGTTTAAGACGAGGAAGGTTCGACACAAGTTGCTCCATTTCGCTCATCGAAACACTTGTACCTATGAAAGATAAACAAATGCAATTCTTTCGTTTCATTCTACATTCTGCAATCAGAATGAAGCTAAAAATTTGAATGCAGAAGTACGTACATGTGATTCTAAGAACAAGTCGATTAAGATAAGGAAATGGATACAGAAAGTCTGCGTCGGACTTCTGATATACCAATTCAATGTCAAGTGTTTGAAGCTTTGTTGTTGCACTACAAATATGTTTAAGTGTAGAGATCGAACATTGTTCGAGTGTCAAATGACGCAGATAAGGAAATCGAGTTGAATTCAAATAATCACCATGATTCAATCTCAGCCGACTCAATTGAGATAGTGCTGAGGACCACTATCAAATGGATGTACAACAAACGAAGAAGTTTCTCGATTTCAAACATTTGAAATCCATGTAACACCTGAACAGATATAGAAGAAAGAGTGCAAACATTTGAGATGGATCAATTTCGACAAAATAGGATTCCAACAGCCGGATGCAGCATCGATAATTGTAAGTGACCGAAGAGAAGAGAACTGTTCGATTCGAAAACGAGACAGAAATAATTCCGCTTGTCCAGGAGTATCTTTGTCGTCGGACAGTGTGAGTGCGAACACGTGGTCAGGCGGAATCTTTCGGCAGAAAGCATCGAAATCAGTTCGATAAATTGATTTGAACTTCACTCGGTGGCAAGGATAAGTCACTAAAGCTGCATTAAAATAGAGACTAATATCCGAAAATGTTTGAAGAAGTTCATGACTCCAAAAGTAGCTGAATATATCATGAATGAGCTCGACGGGAAATATGTCTAATCGACAAGTAGTCATTGTATGAATCGTACATCTATATGAACTACAAAAGGTTATCTTCTAGCATAGTTATGCAAATCTGTTGTAAATACGTATTGATTGTGCAATCCCTTATTGACGAGGTTTCTTCTAGTGATATTGTTACTCACGTATGTAAAGACAAAAGAAAAGAATAGGAAAAAAGAAAGATCTCGTATTGGTCAGAATATACCTCGCAGTGCTGGTAAAATGCATTTATATTATAGAATGAATCAAAACATACACAATGATGTTGCAATAACATCTACAAGCCATTTTTCTTTTCAATGAAATAATCGTCAAAGAGTCACAGAAGAAAGAAGAGAACGCATTCACAAACAGAATAAAAACGTTCTCACGATCAATATGACTCACAAGCAAAGAATCGACAAGTTAAAGTATAATGAAAAAGAAGATTTTGATAGTTTACAAATCAACTAACTTAACAATTTCATTCGATATGAAATGATTCACAGGAGATCAAATAGAAACAGATCAATTTATATCCCTCCGATACAAATCAATCTGCTAGTCTCAACTCTCGCTTTTCAGCAACCGACTATTATGTCGAATATAAAATATTTGATCGATGTGCTTGAATTCGAATTAATTTATAAGAAATGCAGAGTTCAATTTCGCCGACGCGTTTCATGTTTATTTTATTAAAATTTCAAACACTCATCAGGGCTCTGCATTCAGAATTGTAAGCATCAACTGTTGCATAGAAACAGAATATATATAACAGAAAATCGAAAGTATCATTTAAGTTTTACATAAAAACAGCGAATAGTCTATGTAGCGATTACATTGATTTAACATTACAAACAAAAGGTGCATGGAAAATGGTCCAAGAAACTCAAAACATTTTTAACGAAAAAGTTTTTCAAGAAATTTAAAACAAAAAGAAAAATTTTTTCAAGAAATTAAAAACAAACTTTTAGCAGAGTAAGATTTAACAATACACATCACGTTTGTGTAATTTTCTCTAGTGCAGTTCCAATCGTTGTGGTTGTATTGGGCTTTAGAATATTTTACCAATTGGTTATGATCTGGGGCTGATATGTTTTGAAAGATAAATTCCATCTGGTTGTGATTCAACATTTGAATCCACATCGATATATCATTTCAATTATAGAACATTGTCTATCATCTTATTTTGGTTTCCAACTAATATTCTCTCTCTATATATAGATTTCTATCTGCAGCATTTAAAATATATTTTATTGATGGCAACAGTTAATAATGATTAATTTTTTGAATTAAGTTCATAAATAGGACAACTATTAAATAGCCTCAAACAGGCTATAACGTACATGATTTTCAACCGGTAATAATGAATAATTATATTTATATGGTAATGAATTAGAGTGTTGTAAATATTGCCTAATATAATATCAATGATGTAAAATGAAATAATTATAACAACTTTAATAATATTATAACACTCAAGTCGATATTACATGTAACTCCGTATTAACAAATTTAAATTATTGTATCCACAAAATTTTTAATAAAAACGTTTGAACTAAAATTTATATCAATATATATATATCAATGAAGCCAAGGCAGTTATTGTTTAGTTTGTAATATTAATATATCATAAGTACTATGTAAGCAAGAGTATAATAACCTAATCTTAGAATGTATTACAATATGGATCATGACAGGTTGCTTTTCTTCGAAGGCATATTTTGACGTTTAATTTCACCTTTAGAAGATATACTTCAATTGTGTCATTTCCAGTTGCTTCACATATTTTAGGGAAGATAACTACGTAGATATACTTTACAGAAATATACTTTCAAACCAATAATATTGTTATTAATCAGATTGTCAATAATATTATTTAGTATTTCATCCATGTATCAATACTAATGTTTTTGTATAATGTCTATTTCATATATTCTTTATTTCATGTATGAGTCAATCACCAGTATATCATATGGATTAATACGTTCTTGTGCTCGTGGTATCCAATAAATTCGGTATTTTTAAGTGAAAATCACTACATTGTGGTGCATCATTTAACTCTTATGACGCATCATTTACCTCTTATGAGCTACTTATCATGGATCGTAAAAAAGTATTTGATGCCAATATATCGTTGGCCATTAATCGTTACACTGATGAAATCTCATTCATATGAATCAGCCAATTTTCGTTAATCGTCTTTGCAAATTTTGAACATTACGGGTACCAAGTACAGGTGTAACTTCATTAATCGGAGATTCTCCAAAATATTTGCTCCATAATGTATGAAATTGAAAAGGAAATGTTTTCATACTTGAGCAATAAGTAAAATGAATAAACATAACTTTATCATAATCAATTACTATTCGTTCTTTATATGGAGAATCTAGCACATTTTGACGACATTTATCGTAATTAATAATAGTTAATGGCTGATCAATATTAAATTTTAATAAGACATTATTAAATTGTTGTTCGATAATTTGATTAGAATATTTATTGAGTAATAATGACATGCGCAACTTCTCACGTTCATCCAAATATATTTGAAATGTAGAACAATACCTAATAGCGCGTAAAAGCATCGTAAAAGGTATATTCTTTTTCATATGTAATGGATGGATACTATTAAATGGTAAATAGTAAGACTCATATGATGGCTTTTGATAAACTGTGGTAAACAGGTGACCATCTTGATTTTCCATATATAAATCTAGAAAATTGGTAAATGAGCCGATATTAGCTTCTAACTTAATATTTTCGTCAAATTTATTCCATCTGTTGATTTGTTTTAATAAATGTCTAGCGGGCCAATTAATCACAATAAATAAATCGTCTATATATCGAAAATAGAGTCCACCACCATTCTTAATTTGGTTAGCAATTGCTCGTTCAAAAAAGAGCATATAACTATTAGCCATTGTTAAAGTTAACGGAGAACCCATAGCTCCACCTCGAATTTGACGATAAAATTGCCCATCGTAAGAAAAATAATTATTTTGCATTACAAATCGACCTAACCGAATAATAGTTTCTGCTCTTAAGCTACCCACTTTTTTCAATTTTAAATAATCAAACATTTTCTTAAGAGAAAGTACTCCTTCTACTTGTGGAATCATTGTATATAAATCAAGTACATCAATAGTACAAAATATAGTATTTTGATTCATATTTAGTGTACACCATTCTTTTAATTTCTTCAATAATTCAAAGCCAGATGTAACTGTTGTATCTTGAGCCATTTTATCGAATAATGGTCTTAATAAATCATCAAGAAATTTTGAGATTTTAATCGTAGGATGTTTGAGACCACTTATAATTGGACGTAGTGGAGTACCAGGTTTATGAGCCTTTGGCAAATAATATAAATGAGCCAGCTCAACTTCACATGGATTAATACATAATTTTTCATATTGTGTTTGAGTAATCCATTTAGCTAATCTTAAATCCAATAGATATTTATTGGTACTTATAATTAAATCAGGTAATGGATCTTCACTGCCAAGACATTTATATGCTTGAGTTTTTTCCATATATTCCTTAGATTTATTGCGGTAATCTTCTAACTTACCTAAATGGAATACTTTTGATTTATCTGATTTCTGTAACACAACATTCGCCAATTTGAACTTGTGTTTCAATCTTTTAACTAATCTTCCATAGTTTTTCTTTTTCTTAACTTTTGCTAGATTAAAAATTTGTGATTGACTTGCTTTAATAGTTAATAATTCAATAATATCATTTTGATTGATTTGACTTCCAGTTATCCTATTGTTACCAAAACATTTATTTTGTATTGGAATATTATGTAAAGTTTGAAGAAGAACATCTAACTCAGCCATAAATTGTTGGAGTGGACGACCGGGGCTAACCTTCTTCCGTAGAAAACAATCTTCTATTTTACGTTTTAAAGTAGCCAACTCAGTTATACGTCGTCGAGCTGCTGTTTTGGGGTCATTGGATATAAATTTCGGACCTAATTTCAAAAGCTGATGTTCTTCTTCACTTAATCGAATATCTGCTTCATTAATTATTGCTGGAGCAAGAAATCCTCGCCCAGCGAACGTATTACAGTCGGAGCGATTATTTCTTCTTCTTGAATTTGCTGGTTGTTGGTATCGCCTTCGACTTGCTGTTCGAATAAAAAATGAAGAGATTGTTCAATTTCTATTTTTATTCTTTTTTCTCGTGTTTCGTGATATTGTTTAAAAGCTGCATAGCCAGGTTCAGCATCAAATTCATCATCATTTTCTTGAGGAAATCTATCAACAATACATTTAATTTCATTTAATAAGACTTCATTTTCTCGTGCAGTTGATTGAACATATAATGTCATTGCTTGAGTGCGAAAATCTTTTGTGATTTGACGCATTTGATTATATGTAACTTGAGCTTCATCTTGACTTATAATTGATTCATCAATTTTGAAAGAAAAGTCATCTTTTTCAATAATTTTTGGAGGCAAATCTAATTCAACACGTTTTGCTAAAATTTGATAATTTTTGTTTTTTGTAGACCAATTCTTAATTTTAGGTTTTAATATTAGATGAATATTCCATTGGGCTGGACTAGCTATTTGCTCAAAATCTTCTAATGCTTTAAATTCATCCATTTGAACTTTAGCTAATTGTATTCGGGATTGGGCTAATATTTTAACATGTTGTGTACAAAAATGGATATATTCTAATATAAGCTTTTCAATACGTTCAACTGGTTCTCGAGCATAATTTTTAGTAGTCGTAGTAGTAGCAGTCGGAGCTCTTTCTGTAATTCCTGTAGCTATTTCATCTTCTGTATCAGTTCCTACAGGTCCTGTAGCTACTGTTGGACGTGCTCTTTCAACTGTTACTTTTTTAGCTACTATATTAGCTGTTGTTTGAGCTAATCTCTGATTTGCAGTTTCAGAAGTTGTTTGCATCCAATAAGTCGATAATTTGATTTGAAGTTCTAATATAGTAGCGCATGCTCTAGCAATATTAGTTGTTAAACGATTAATTTTCTTCTGTACAAATCGAGTATTAATTAAATTATCACGTCGTTTTGTACGTCGAATAACTTCTTTAGCCCAATGTTTTTGTTCTGTACCCATTTTAAGGTAAGCTTGCCAAACTTGTAATTCATAATTATTACGAACCCAGTTATCGTAACTTGAAACTGAAGCTAATACATGCTTGATTTCCACGACCACTTATAGCATTTTTAGAATTTCTCGAATGATCTTCTAACCATTTCAATATATGAGTTGGTTCAAGATATCGTCGAGTCTTTTTAAAAGACTTAACTCTTTTTGAGTTCATATTTATATTTAATGGCATTAATTCATCTTTAACTTCGGCTTCCACATCAGATAGATTATCATCATTTTCATCAGCTAACATAGCAAATCGATTATTACGACGTTGTCGACATCTAAATGAAGACGTAGTTTTACGTTCTCGTTGATTTTGTTGCTGCTGTTTATTTTGATTATTTCTAGTAACTGTGAAAGGTTGAGTAGTATTATTTTGAACAAATCTTTCACGCTGTGGTAATGCATCTGATGGAACATTTGTATTTGTTATTGCCAGTGCTGTAGTTGTAGCTATATTAAAATCAGGTGGAAGTTGTGGCGAAGGTTCACGTAATTCAGTTGGCATAAAATTGTTTAAACGAATTTGGGTGTGGGTGTGGCTGTGGCTGTGGGTGTGCGTGTGCGTGTGGGTGTGGGTGTGGGTGTGGGTGTGGGTGTGGGTGTGGGTGTGGGTATTGGTGTGGGTGTGGTTGTGGGTGTGGGTGTGTGGGTGTGGGTGTGGGTGTGAGTGTGGGTGTGGGTGCATTGAAGAAGTAGGTTCATACACTCACACTCAAACTCACACCCACACCCCACACCCACACCCCACACCCACACCCCACACCCACACCCCACACCCACACCCCACACCCACACCCCACACCCACACCCNTACATTCCAACGAGATAATATACGATGTGTCTAAACAAATTGCTTGTACGATAAGATTAAAGCCAATAAGCTTGTACAATATGTTTTTAAGACTGGGTGCTTGTTCGGGGAGGAGGAATCGAACCTCGTACGCTCTAGTTAGAGTCAGAGACGTACCCCATTCGGCCAGGGCTCCCCGTTCGGCCAGGGCTCCCCGAATTCAAAAGAACATTATTAAACTGTTCTTCTATTAATTTAATCGGATATTGATTGAGTAATAAGAACATACGTAATTTTTCTCGTTCATCCAAGTATGCTTGAAAAGTCGAACAATATCTAATTATACGAAAAAACATTGTATAAGGTATGTTCTTTTTCATATGTAATGGATGGACACTTTTAAATGTTAAATAATATGGTTCATACGATGGTTTTTGATAAACTGTTGTAAACAGAGTACCGTCTCGATTTTCCACATATAAATCAAGAAAATTTATAAATGAGCCAATATTTGCTTTTAATTTGATATTTTCATCAAAATTCTTCCATATATCGATTTGCTTTAATAAATGTCTAACGGGCCAATTTATAACTGTGCCAATAATCTATATTCTCAGATATTCGGAAAAGCCACGTATCCCTTTTTTATACGAGCACGTACACCCTTTCTTATTCATATATTTGCGTTTCCTCATCGTTGAATTTCTTCTTGTTCTTAAGAATGATAATTAGAGTAGTCAGCTAGTACGCTCAAATATTACGACAGTGGCAAAAGTGTTACCTTGAGGTTATGTCACACTAAACGAGAATATCCTTTAAGTACTATCAATACGTCATTAGATCGATTACAAAAGGGACTAACCACATAAGCGCATGCCAATCAACAAAGTAATCTATATACATACATATATATATACATATATATCGGTGAGGGTCAGTCTCTAAATAGCCCGTACTTTCCTTTGTCGTAATAAACAGAAATAGAAAGTAAAATGGATAGAGAGAAAAGAGCGAGGATATAAAAGGAGCGAAGAATAGAAGAATCGGAAGTCAGTTAGTTGGGGTAGAATAAAGTAGAGGCTATCTAAGAATCGTAAAGAGAAGAGTTACGTCTAAAAGAGATCAAGCAGAAGATATCAACGGTTACAGTGGAACTATTATATTCGAAATACTTTTATTATTGTGTACGTTTCAACATCGTATTTATTACGTTTATATTGTTGTATTCTTCATTGTGTGTTCATACTTTTATTCAAATAAACATCGGTGAATCCGTAACGTTATATTTCAATTCATTAATTTCTCTACGACTCAATATACCAAATAAAATATTTCGTTACAATAACAATAAATAAATCATCAATATATCGAAAGTACAGCCCACCACCGTTGTGAATTTGTTTGACAATTGCTCGTTCAAAGAAAAACATATAACAATTAGCCATAGTTAAAGTTAACGGGGATCCCATAGCTTCGCCCCGAATCTGATGATAAAATTGACCATCATAAGAAAAATAGTTATTTTTCATGACAAATCGACTTAAACGAATGATTGTTTCAATTCTTAATCTGCCAACTCTCTTCAATTTCAAGTAATCTAACATTTTTCTAAGAGAAAGCACCCCTTCTAATTGTGGAATCATTGTATATAGATCAAGAACATCAATTGTACAGAATATAGTGGTTTGATTCATATTTGATTTTGACCATTCTTGTAATTTCTTAATTAATTCAAAGTCAGAATTAACTGTTGTTTCTTGAGCCATTTTATCAAATAAAGGTCTTAACAAATCGTCAAGAAATTTTGATATTTTAATTGTTGGATGTCCAAGACCACTTATAATTGGACGTAAAGGACTACCAGATTTGTGAGCTTTTGGCAAATAGTATAAATGAGCCAGTTCAACTTCACATGGATTAATACATAATTTTTCGTATTCTTTTTGAGTAATCCATTTAGTCAATCGTAAATCTAACAAATATTTATTTGTTCTTTGAATTAAATCAGGTAATGGATCTTCACTTCCAAGACATTTATATGCGTAAGTTCGTTTCATATACTCTTTGGATTTTTTACGATAATCTTCAATTTTACCTAAATGGAATACTTTTGATTTATCGGATTTTTGTAATATAACATTAGGCAATTTAAATTTATGTTTTAATCTTTTAACTAATCTTCGATAATTTTTCTTTTTCTTTACTTTTATACCATTAATAATTTGTGATTGTATTTGACTTGCTTGGCTACGATTAAATTCCATAAAATCATTTTGATTTACTGAGCTTCTAATTATTTTATCCCTATTTAAATTATGAGATGTTGTTGGAATATTATGTAACGTTTGAAGAAGAACATCTAATTCAGCCATAAATTGTGTAAGAGGACGACCGGGGCTCACCTTTTTTCGAAGAAAACAATCTTCTATCTTACGTTTTAAAGTAGCCAACTCAGTTGTACGTCTTCGAGCTGCAGTTTTCGGATCATTAAATATAAATTTAGGTCCTAATTTTAATAATTGACGTTCTTCTTCCGTTAGATGAATTTGAGCTTCATTAATTATATCTGGAGCAAGAAATCCTCGCCAAGCGAACGTATTACAGTCGGAGCGATTAATTCTTGCTGTTCTAGATTGTTGGTATCGCCCTCGAATTGCCGTTCGAATAAAAAATAAAGCGAACGTTCTTTTTCTAATTTCATTCTTTTCTCACGTAATTCATGATAATGTTTAAAAGCAGCATAGCCAGGTTCAGCATCGAAACCATCATCATTTTCATTATGAAATCTATCAATAATACTTTTAATTTCATTTGATAGGACTTCAAATTCTCGAGTAGCTGATTTTACATATAATGCCATTGCTTGAGTGCGAAAATCTTTGGTGATATGACGCATTTGATTATATATGGCTTGTGCTTCATCTTGACTATAATAGATTCATCTATTTTTAATGAAAAATCAACTTTTTCAATCATTTTTGGAGGCATATCTAATTCGACGCATTTGGATAATAATTGATAATTTTTATTCTTTGTTGACATAGTTTTATTTTGAGTTTTAATAAAAAATGTGTATTCCATTGGGTTGGAGTGGCTATTTGTTCAAAATCTTCTAAAGCTTTAAATTCTTTCATTTGACCTTTCGCTAGTTCAATCCGATTTTGAGCCATCTTTTTCACATGTTGAGTAGGTGTGTGTGTGTGTGTGAGTGTGGGTGTGGGTATGGTTGTACTGTATCTGCACTCACACCCACACACCCACGGCCCGCACCCACACCCACCCACACCCACACCCACACCCACACCCTATCTGTATCAAATATAAATATCAATTCATCTAATTGGTATTGAACAAGTAATGATAAATTTTCAAGAAATTGTTTTGTTAAATAACATTTCCTAAGAATAAGCGTGTGGGTGTGGGTGTGGGCCTGGGTACGGATATAGTTTTTCTGTTCATATTCGCCCACACCCAAACACACCCACACCCACACCCACACCCACACCCACACTCACACATCCACACCCTACTCAACATGTGAAAAAGATGGCTCAAAATCGGATTGCACTAGCGAAAGGTCAAATGAAAGAATTTAAAGCTTTAGAAGATT